CCTTAAAGATTTGAATTTGCTAGTTCATAATCGAAATATATTATTAAAAATTACGGATGTGATTTTACTTTTAAGTTAATTAGTATTTATAATATCACTTAAATTACTTAGATCACAATTTTGTTACATTCTACCTTTTTTTTTTTTTTTTGGTATTCTCGTCGTATATTTTTGCTTGAAATAAGAGCAGAGCTGCGGAGGAGAAAACCTACAAAACCTACTTATGCAATTTATAAATGTGACATTCAATTAGTGTATAAATGGTGCAATTTGAAGAAAATTGTTCATGTAACTTGGGAAATAACGTTAAAATTATGTCATACCGGAAATCAAATTTGTATTTATTTTTAATAATTTATTGAATAAATGCAAAATAAAATAAATGACGATTTGTCGAAAAATATCGACAAATTACCTATAACTAGTGAACTTCCATAATTATAAACAGCAAGAAACAAAATATTAAGGAATTTTCATTAAATTATATAAATTGATGTCGGTACAATAATTATTAATAATATACATCTCGATACCAATACAACATTTATTGAAGTAGGTGTTAATAATATTTCAGATATGTATTTGTTTGGTGTGTCAGTGAGTTATTCAGCAGGGGCGTCATTTGAGGTATGCAGGGTATGCCAGTGCATACATAAAATTTCTAAACACTATATTTTGGCCTGAATTCAATTTTTCTGCGCCGCATAAAAATTAGTAGTAGGCTAAAATTAGTAAAAATTGGAAAAAAATTAAATGATCATAATTTCTTTTTTTTAATTTATAGTTAATATTTAATATAACAAAAAAATAAAATAAAATTTTAAACTTTTAATTTAAAATAACTACTTAACACATATCATGTAATATCAACTATTTTTATTAATTAATAATTTTATTTGGATGTCGAAGAATTGTCCGTATTAGAATCAGAAGAATTTTCCATTTCAGAATCTTTAACTCCATTATAAGTGAGCAAATTTTAAGATTCTTGCCATAGCGTTTTTTTTTTTTAATTTGGGGTTTCTCCCTTAAACTTGCAATAAATGGATCGAAAGAAATTAAAAGAGTATTTAACACATTATATTTTTTCTACTGTTTTTTCGTGTATTTGATGTTCTATATCTTTTCATATCTTTATGGCGTCTTCGGATAGTTGGCCTATTGGTAATAATGCTACTTTTATAATATTCGAACCATGTATCAAGATTTTATGAAAAATAATTGGCATGTAAAACCATGGGTATTTTGTTACAAATAACTTAACAGTTTCTTTAGCATATGTATCAAATTTTTCATGATTTATTATTATTATTATTTATTTATTATTTTTTTATTATTTTCTCTTATTAATGTTTACTTGAGAATAACTAAATTTGAGGAACAAATATAATAATTTTAAAAAATAAATATATACTAATACTAATGAAAGCTTATGTAAAAAAAAAAAACTACAAAGAAAAGAAAACAAAAAAAAAAAGATAACATCGTATTTTTCAATAATTGTTTATTTATTATTCAATAATTCAATTACATGTATATTTTTGGTTTGAAAGTACAAAGAAGCTAGAATTTTAGGCGCAAACATATACGAGTACAAGTATATGAGCTGTTATAACAGAATACTATATTACCACAGATTAAATAAATTTTTAATAAATAAATTTTATTTAATCTGTGATATTACACGCATTATTTTATTTTTGTTTTTTTTCTCAATTATTGCTTCAAGCATAGTAATAAATAACTAATATTTTATCCGAGCTGTTGATTTGTTATGTGATTAAATTTGCCTATACGAAACACCTTAAAAACGAACGTACTCTACCATTTAACGACGTATTTCAATTGTACAGTTTAATTATTCTATTCGATTATATGATACACTAATGTTTGAATTATTTTTTCATTTTTATATAAAAAAAAATTACGGTCCAAACATTCATGATCATCCCATAATTTGTGCGGCCCACCAAGCCCACTGACTCAATACGCTCTTGTATAATAGCAATGTGCTTGCATATTTAAAATTATAGTTTCCATATCAGGTTTTATATTAAATATTATTAATTATTAAATTTGTAACTAAAATTGTTGAAATTCACGAATACGGTACGAGTGTAAATATAACCAGATATTAAATAACAGTTCAATTAAATCGGTAACCGAAATCGCTTATATTTAATAAACCATTGTCAGATAAAATTATAACACACGCTATTTTATTCGGCATGTTATTATACATCCGTAGTAATCTGATTAATATTTAAAATAATGCATTTTTATTTGAATATCCATTTATTTATAACTTTTGAGGACCCCGAATAATATTTCACGACCCCTAGGCTGAAAACTACGGCTCTACGCGATTATTATTGTAGGAAACCACTATAAAATTTGTTATGATTATAAATATTGTTAAATAATGATGTTTAAACTTTAACAAGTTATTTTAAATACTATAGGTACTTTTTTTAAAAATCTGATTTACAAAATAGCTATTTTAGATTTTTTTTCAATCTGTAAAAAAAAATTTAAAAATTTTCAAATTTTAAATAACAAAAAATCTTTTAATACAATTTTATTTTAGCACAGCACCTAAGTATTTATTAAAAAAATAAATATTTTAATAAATATTAATAATATTTGAATAGGATATTCTAATAGTAAATGATTGGTGTTTTACCATTATATTTTAATATTACATTTTGTGTACGGATAATTCATATGACACTATCGAAGACTTCTTTGCCTCTTTATTTCCATGGTCAGTTCACCCCTGTTTATATTCCATACGGTATAGACTATATATGTAATATTTATTGTGGTTGATTATTATAGGCATCATAATTGAAATCATAATTTCCTATTGGTGTTCATTCGTATTTCTATTCAATTTCAATAGTGAAATAATGCCTCATCAAAAAATGTTTATAGTTGGTATTAGGAAAAATCAAATATGTACTTAATAGTAAATTACTATCCGAAAGGTAAATTTAACGTTACACCATAATATTTCTTTAGTTATAGACAAATATTCAATTGTATGCAAAAAATCAAAAATACTAACTCAAGATCAATGCCATTGCTTAAAAAATTAAAATACTATATGAAAAATTACAAAACCTCGAAAAAAGTAAAAATAAAAACAGTGAGTTATGTAAGCAAAGAGAGCATAGTTTTGAAAACAATTTAAATGAATTTATTTGAAATAGCACAATGAATATGCTTTAAATATGATGAAAATCAATGAAAGAAATTTTTATTCGTTTTCGAAAAAACCAATTCAGAATAAAAGAGGTCAACTATGTAATTAATATAATTTTAGGAAATTCGTTAAAATATCCAATTTCGTCAACATTTCTTTTTGTAACGTTTATAAATCGTTTTTGCGAATTTTCAGTTATTAATTTAACTATTATTATAATTTTTTTTTTCCAAGAGAAAATTACATAAAAAATCTTGTATCCAATTTTCAAAACTAAATTATCAAAATTAAAAATGTTATACATTTTTAACGCAAAAAATGTAATTGTTAATAATATTTTCATGTTTTTAATAGTTTTATTCAACTATAATATTCAAATGCTCGTAAAATTTGTTTTTAAAATTAAGCTCAATTTTTTTATAAAACAAATAAATACGCAAGAAATTTTATGTATAATTTTCAAAACTTTTTGTCATACCAAAATGTTTTTCTAAGCAATTTTGAAAAAAAAAGTTTGCAAACTCAAAAATTCAAATATTTTATAAAATGCTCAAATTTTTTTTTTTTTTTAACTATACCAACTAAGCGAATGACGTAAAATAAGCATTCAGTGAAAATTTGAAGTTTTTCAAACATTTTTTTTTTTTGTTGTTACGATGAAAACTAATTCGAATTTGACGAAAACGGGTATACCCTACATTTTGCAATTTTTTTAATTATTATATATATATATATATATATATCATTATTATATTTAGTTTTAACAAAACAATATGGAAAGAAGAAAAGAATTTCCCTCGAAAATGAATTTTTATGCCGTTTTTATCCCCCAGTTTTTCTTAATTAGTTGGAAAATGGTCGAGAAATTCAAAAAACTATCACTTCATAAATAAGAAACCATTTCCGATATTTGACTTTTTTATTTGGTAAAAATCGAAAAAATCCTTCTGGTAGAAAATAATTATTGTTTTACTATACCAGTGTTTTCCAACTCATGGTACGCGTATCTTTTGGGATGAGCAAAAAAACAAATGAATAATAGTGGAAAATATAGAATTTGATTTATTTGAAACGGTTCGCTTCTAAAGTATGCAATATGTTACTAAAAATAAATAACTTCTATTATGCAAATAAAAACCTTTCTCATAACTCAAGTAATATATATATATATAATAATAATAATTTATTTAAATCATTATATAATTTTTCGCTTACATGAACCAATGATTTTAAAATATTCATACATTACTGAGTGATAATAGCATAGTAATAATATACGACAATAATAGCGACTAACGAAAAAAATTCATCAGAATGGTACGTGGAACCCTAGTGAGTGGTCAACGGGTTACTTCAATGTAAAAATGTTGGAAACGAAACACTCAGCGATAAGCCTACAAGCCTCATCGTTGAACGACTGATCGCTGATAACCACCCCTTCTACCCACTTTCTATTAATAAGTGCTTAAGTCATGAGCTTGTTCCAGGGCTGGATCAAAAGAAGGGCAGTGTAATAGCCCTGGACCACGAGTCAAGAAGGGCCATAATATGCTTTATAATTGTTGACAAACAAATACAAAGTACTATTTAAAAAATTATTTTTTATTTTACTACACTACAATATGTAAATATACTAAACTTACTTAAATTATTATTTATTACAAATTACTAAAAATATGAAATTGTCTTGAGTCTCACCAAAATTAATAGTCCCTTTCTCCCTTGTATTATAGACATAATCCAACCCTGGACTAGTCGAAACGCATTATTCAAAGAATTATTATCTTAAACTTACCGTTTCCGACGGTGTACTGTTGCAGCAAATCGGTCATGTTTATGTGCACAATACCTCTCTTCTCTATCATCAGGTTGTCACAGTGCGTGACCTTACCGCTTCCGGGTCCACCTGCGGGCACATGCAAATAATTATACACCCAGTCAGAACCATAGTAAGTGTTCAAGTGAATACACTTACCGAGCACGAAAATAACAGGAACTTTCGGAGTGTCGAATTTGACGTGGCTGTTGATATGCGTAAACATGCCAGTATCATTTCTGTAGGTTTCGTCACTATCATCTGCTTCCCAGATATGTCTTTCTTTTGGACCGTTTTCAAAATGTTTATCATCGGGATTTTTGTCTGGAATAATGACACGATTATTGAACATAACACTGTATCACGCATACGATAATATTACATATGAATTGTATTATAATTACAGAGAAGGCCTGTAGGGGGCAAGACCATAGAGGTCATGCCCTCTTCCTCAGACCTAAAGTTTTATAAACAACCATACTGTTTTGGAAAAAAAAAATAAAAACATCTAAATAATAAAAAAAAAATGAAAGAAAGTAGTATGAATTTGTTAATATGAAATTATGAAGGCGATTATTTTCGAAACGTACAATAGTGATATTTTATGACGCATTACATTTTCAGTGTAAATTGTATTAAAGTGACATTTATGCCTCCTACCCCATATTTAAGTAAAAAAAGCTGCCCCATAACATGTAAATTGTGACGGGTCACGCGTTAATTTTCCATTTTTATAGCTACAAATATTTCAAATAGTTCAGTGATCGTTACGGAATTCTTCGTCTCCACTCCCCGGTTATGTCATCCTTGACAGGACCATATATTTTCTGTAGAACTTTTCTTTCAAATACAATGAATTTATTCTCAACTGTTTTTCTAAGTGGTCGTATTTCAGAACCATATAATATAACTGGTTATACTATTAGAGACTTATATAATTGTTCTTTCATTACATAATATTCTTTCTTTTAATTACAAACTAGAAAATACATTAAATGTATTCAAATATTTTAAATCGTAATTCGAAATATTTTATTAAAACCATCTATGTATTTTCCTGTATAAAAACTTAAAAAGTTAACTTAGCCAAACCATAAATTTCCAAGAAAAAAAATCCGAGTCATTAAAATATAATCAAATATCCGTCAATGAAAATTATTTGGTTAATTTTTATAATAATTGAAATACTATATTTACTATTATTTCATTAGACCACTAACACGTAAAAAAAAAAGAAAATTAACTAGAATTGTTAAACAACTTGTTTGGATAATTTAAAAGTCTTAACCGTTATAATTTAATCATATATTTTTTATAATGTGTAATGTATTTTTATTTATCCATGCCAACAGCTCAAATATTAACTATTATACTTCTAGTACAAAATAAATAGATTTTATAAAATCATCTTTAATCTTTAATTTTTGTGTCTTACTGATAATCCTCATTTTCGAATTAAGGCTATAAGTTGTATTCTTAACAGCTTAATACGATTATATCGTTAAACCTATATCCTTACTATTTTAACAGATTAGAAACCGGACTCACCTTAAACGATAAACTATTAGAAATTAATTTTTTAATATTTTTTTTTTTAAATTTTCACATTTTTTCATTTGTATATTTGACAATCAAAATATTTATAATTATTTATCATATGACATATAAATACAAATAAAATATATATGATGACTCATAAATTTCCAGTATAGATTTTTTGATCGTTTAAATAATAAATCCTCAGAGCAATAAAAATAAATAAATGTAATTTTAGTTATCGTAAAATGCGTGTATAAGAGGAGACTTAACAATAGAAATCGTTTTTTAAAATCTATGTTGTTATTCGTAAACATGTGTTATAATAATTATATAAACAATTTAAATTTAAATTTCTTTCAAATACGGTCCAGTAGAAATTTTAATTCCACTATAAAAAAATTCCCAAAATTATACATACCTAATCAAATAAAAAAATTTGTTTATTACTTAAACTAAATAATATTCTTATAATATATGATAAAATTTGGAAATCATTTAAGATAAATTTTACAACTTGAGATGCACATGAAAAATCAGATTTTTTCTTCATACGCTTAATTTGATAATTGCTATCGAAGTACAAAACTTTTACTTTAAAAAAATTATAATTTCGAATAATGAAAAACAAATCGAGACGAGAATACTTAATATTTTACGACGGTTTTTACTGCACGGGTTCATGGGTGTAGGTAAACTCAGGTCAAAAAAAGTGAAGGTCACTCAGAATGTTTTGTGTAACGGTTAGTATAAAAAAAAAAAATCGATAATTACAAAGAGTCAGTGCTTTTTTTCAATATTTTAAAGATAAAACAAGTTTTGTAACATACGAGTACATAAACTGTGTTGATGATATAAATTTGTAAAGTTCTTTCTCGCTATTTCTAGTTAATTGGATTTATAGCTTCTTGTACTACAGTTAATTGTGTTCATTGTAGACTATCAGCAGTACAATATATTATTGTTGTAGTTGCTACGTGGAAAGTGAATAATTTAGTCTCCCTGCATTGTATACAATATAACCCAATGTAAAGGAAAGAAATAATTTTAATTTTATGCATTGCGTATAAGGTCACCACGACTTTTGTGCAAATTGAAAATAATTGATCGTTGGTTATGATCGTTAGGTACTAAATTTTATATAAGTGTCATGTACATCAAGTAAAACATCAGACACTTGGCAGCATACAATAAAATAACACTTACGCACGACTGTTGATTGAAAACTAATTAAAATTTTTTTTTTTTTAAAAAAATGCTAAACAAAAAGAGTAATTTAATTTTAAACATCTGTTTGTTTATTGAATGATGCTGATGTAATATTTGTAGTCAAAGAACTGACAAATTCAGGAACACACTGGACCAGTCAGAATTCTGAAATTGTTTTCGTATTTTACCTTCGGTGCACCACAAATTCTACACCAGAAAAAGAATGAGGTTGTTGAATGGAATTAAAAGTAGTATATGAGTGAGGAACGTGGGACAGGTCCATGTGGAGATGATGCACAAGAATGGCCAACCACATATTATTACGGTTCGGAATAAATAAATTCTTTCAGAAAATTATTATAATTGTTTTAGTTCTATTATCCTTAATTCTATTTAATGTTCTAATTAATATTGACAAATAATTTTCAGAGAAACATCAAGTTGACAATAAACTTAAACTACATATTATAATTCTTAACGATATGTTGACCAACGTTAAACTTATACACTACAATTATTCACACATACTAAACGTTGAGAACGTATAACAATAAATGTGTCGACTTCATTATTATTTATTATTATTTAACCTCCTAATATACCTAATAAATAATATAATATAAATTATAAATTAATTTCCTATCTAATCTTCCTTTCTTTTAATTAAAACCATTATATGCGTAGAATTAGTTACTAGAAATCTTTGAAATTTTCGTTTTAAACGTAATAACACACTACCAACAATTGTATTGGTAATAAATTAATATTTGCGTGTCATTGAGAGCAAACACACTGGGAATGTACCATGATTGTTTGACAGCATTATTGAAATGAACACACGATTGGTAAAACACTTTAAGAGTAAATACTTTAAAACAGGGCTTAAAACCGTTCCTAATAAAGTTGGTAATCGGCTCCGGTAGGAGCCGAAAACTTTTTAAAACCGGAAACCGGTTATCGTTTAATTTTGATATTATGGTAACCAGTAACCGTTATTTTAAGAATCTTTCAAAAACTGTAATAACCGTTAATCGTTTAAAAGCTGATGATAATGTTTTTTAGTAATCGGTTACCGGTTAAAACCGGTTTTTAAAAATCATATTTTCAATTTTTTAATCATATTTTTAATAGTTTATTTAGGCGATTCGTGGGTTAATAATATAATTTTTATTATTATTAAAACGAAAACTTAATATGCTTTAATTTGGTCGATTTCACTCAATTACAATATTTATTTTTTCAAACTGCTTTAAAGTTTAAAATATATTATGATCAAGATAATGATAATCAAAAACCTAAATTGCATAAAAAAAAATTATTGTTGTAATTTTCTTATTTATAACGGTAAAAAACTGAAATTAAATATAATAATTTTCTAAGATGATACTAAGATTGATACATTGTATATAATATAGATATATTATATACATGATATTCACAACAGATAAGCAATACTTGACGGCCATTAATTGGAGAAAAATATTTAAAAATAGCTGGAAAATTAAATTCAACTATAATAGTATAATGTAATCATGACATAATTCAAGTATTAATACCACGAAAAACCCGTTAATTATTTTGGTTGGAAATAGGTTTTGGTTATAAAACCGGGATTGAAAATACAAGGTAATCGCTTTGATGTTAATATTTAGATATTTACCTTGATAACCGATAGCCAATAACCGCTTCCAGCATTACAAAACTAAAAGTGGTTATCGGTTTTCAGTTCTCAAATTTACGGTTTTTTACCGGTTTTCGTTACAAATCGGTTATCGATTTTAAGCCTTGCTTTAAAACTTGTTACTCAAATATCCGTCACGTCGCGTGGTATTTGGAAGAATCGCCAAGTACTGTTCTTATTTTAACCATAATACGGAGATGAACTGTTGATCAATATTATAAAATATTGTTTTCTGAACTTTACTTTTAGCGTAAAAACAATAGTATATGATACACCGCATTTTCTTTCAGAAAATGGTTTCTTAAGTACCTACATTTTTTGCATAGAGCCACATAAAAGTTTTTAAAATTACTAACGATTATACGATTTTAATACATCAACGTGCGGATGAAAAAAAGATATAGAAATGACAATCTGGTGAAATTGGTGTCCAACGACACAATTCACGAATCAATTTTTTGACAAATATCTAAATGTTGGTTGGAATATACTGAAATAAAATTCTCCGTAAAAATTTGGTTGTTTTTATGATACTTTATGTTGCTATGCGTGTTAAAAATTTCTATCGCATTTTTCCATTTATTAAATGGTTTTGTAACTAATACTCCTGGTTTTTGATGTGCACCTTTACCAGTAAAATTATGATAAAAGATAGTACAATTTTTACATACCGCTCCAGAATTTCGCATATTAGTGTAACATAACCAGGGGAAACGTTTAATCCTATTTAATTGAAATTTTAAATTTCTTTTTCCCAATATAGGGATATTAAATTTTTCATCAGACAGCCAAACATTAGTAAGTAACTTGAATTTTAATTCATCATTAACCTTTTGATCGAAACAGCAACTAATATCGGCAATATTATAAGTCAATTCTTCTGGAGATTTATCTGTAA